TTGCTCTGTGTTCCCGGCCTACCTGAGAGCCACTCAGTGTACAAAAGGGGTGGACTGGGGAGTTGGCACCAAGCAACAGGGGGCATGTTTACTCACCTACCCCACCCTTCCCCTGTCCTTTGAGACTGCTAGACTGCACTGCTAGACTGGTGTGGTGCTACTTAATGATGTCATTAAAGGGGCAGGGCCTCATGGTGGCATCCATCTTTTCTTCGTGTTTACCGAGGCTGGGCAGCAGTGGATAGTGGGCAGCAAAGCAGCACCCCATTCGGCTTCTGAGCAGCAGATGAGACTAGCAGTAAGCAGCAGCAGAAGACAACATACATCACAGTACTTCATTCAGAGTTCTCTCCTGAGTGGCGAGGGGGGGCACTGTCGTACAGGTTATTTTTCAAGGTGGAACCAGCACACCAGTGCTTAAAGACAGTGCACTCTCAGCTGACAAAGAGATTGCTACATAGCCACAGATACCCATACAGTGTGTCAGCAGGCCTAATGTCTCATAGACAGCAGAGAGCAGTGGACACGAGAGGGGAAAGGGTCCCAAATACAGGTGTCAGATAGGGAGGATCCTGAATATAGCCATCCTGGTGATATTTCCGCTGAGGGTCTAATTGTTCCAGGGAACTCTGACTCCCTCCCCATATTAGGTATATCTGCTACCTCCAGAATGTATTCTGCCAGTCAATTTGTTATACAAAAGGAGTTGTTTGTGTTAGCTATGAACTTGCAACAGATCTTTTGGTATTCTTACCAGCTTACCTCCCCAAGAGGAAGACTTGAGGAGGATGACATGTAAGATCCATTCCATTAGGATGACCTGAAATCACTTCCCATCCACATGGCTGGCCTGGGTAGTTTTTGGCTGACTCTGTGACCTGTTGCCCTTCCCCACTTTCAATTCAACTAGGCAGTTGGGACTATGTCTTGGGACATAAACCATGCAGAGTGCTGTTGAGCAGTATTTCTCCTTGGATGTTATGTGTGTAGCCCCTGCTCTAGATCTCTCTCCCTTCCTGCCAGTTCCTTTTTTTTTTTTTTTTTTTTTTACACAAGATCTGTGCACAAGGATGACAACTCCTACAGAGTCTTTCTACACAGAGAATAATTGGTTCTCTGATCATTCACCACGTTTCCCCTCAGGCATTGGCCATTTGCTTATGTTTGTTGCATCTGGTTCTATTTACAATTATTCACAGCACATCTGGATTCCCTTTTCTCAATTTGAAATTCCAAGTGGCAGTAATTTTCACTCTATTTATCAAAACCTATAGCCCCTGGTCCTCTACCTTTCAGAGATGGTGAGTACTTGATTTTATCAATGATTTGACTAATGCTTCCAAGGGTAGACCTTATACTCTCATTTACTATTTGTTCCCCTATGCATCTCTCTACTCACAATCACTTAATCTTGAATTTTAAGCCTAAATCCTTGTATGCATTACCCCTTTCTTTTTCTGCCAAGGGAGTTTACAACCTAGCCTAATATGTGGGGCAAGTGGTGGACATTTGATTCCAGAGAAGTAAAATTCAAATGGTTTGCATAGACTTATGGAATGAGCTACCTTACATCATTATTTTTGTCATCAATATATACTGCATATTGCAATTATTTTAAATTCTTAACATAAGTAAGATTGATGTGTACTTTTCCTTTTTTAAAATAATTTCCTGTATGTGGATTATCTGTTTCATTTTGAGAACTGCGCGAATGCCGTAGCTCTGAAAACTGGGAGGCATAAGAATCCTCTGCTGCAGATTCCACAACAGAGGAACCCCGTGGTCAGTGTTATTTCAGACTCAGAAGGCCATTGTTCAGTTTCTCATGGAAGTGGTGTGTACTGATCTGAAGTTACCACTACCTATGTCTTCCTCTCTGAAGTTTCAGTCACTTAGATCATGGCAGCCTCTCCTACATCCACACCTCAAGGATGTTTTATATATGGACTTGCCCTGACAAGGTGAAGGAAAAGAGATTTAATTTCCAAATACGGAAATGTTGCTTCACAGTAGGAGTTGTGAAAATGTGGAATAGACTCCAAGAGTTGGTTCTGGTCAGTCCAGTAGATTGCTTTAAAAAAGGCCTGGATTCTTTCCTAGAAACACATAATATAACTGGATACTAACATTTTTTAGGTAAAGTTGATCCAGGGAATATCCGCTTGCCTCTTGGGTGATCAGGAATTATTTTTTTTCCCTTGCTGGAGCAAATTGAATCATGCTTTGCTGGGGGGGGGGGGGTTCTTTGCCTTTCTCTGGGTTATATGATTATAATTTTTTTTTTTCTTCCCTTTTGATGGTTGAACTTGATGGACTTGTCTTTTTTCAGCCAGACTAACTATGTAACTATGAGTTCACTTCACCGAAGGGATTTGCTCAACAGTACCCCATAGAAGAGGCTTTCTAGTAGCATCTGTACAGCTAGGGACTTCTTGGCATTGACACATAAAGGATGCCTATCTATATGTCCTGATTTTTCCTTCCCCACCAGAGATCCTTGGGGTTTGTAGTGGAGGACTGACATTTCCAATTTGTGGCTCTGCTGTTTCGCCTTTCTACAGCCCCTAGAGTGTTTACCAAGGTACTAGCCCCAATTTTATGACTTCTATGGATCCAGGGGGTGCCTGTTTTGGAGTACCTGGATGGCTTGCTTCTGCATACGTAATCTTCATGAACAAAAGATTTCTCTCATGATTCACACTCTGGCTGGGTTCTCAGCCTTCCAAAATTTATACTGATTCCGATAGAGTTTGGAATATACACCGGTAGGTCTGATTCTGCATCTTGTCCAGGCAAGAGTTGGTCTGCCTCCAGAAAAATGCCTTGCATTGAGGATGCATTTGAAATCTCTCAGGACAGTGAGGGCCCCTGCACTTTGCTTTTGCTTGAAGACCATGGAGAAGATGGTGACCTCATTCGAGACAGTCCCCTTATATCAGTTTAGTTCCAGATCTCAGCAACGAAACATTCTTTTAGTGTGGGATGGGAGACCTCTGTCCTTGGACTCACCAATGTCCTTATTTCCAAAGACTCTTCAGTCTCTGAACTGGTGGATGTCTCCTCATGTGCTAGAGACAGGGCAGTTGTTTCTCCCCATTTCTTGGACAGTGTTGACAACAGACACCAGCCTGTTAGATTGAAATGGAGAGGGAAGGGGGGGTGGTCTAAGGCATATTTCAATGCAGAGGAGAGAATGTTGCCCATCAAATGTTCTAGAACTGCAGGCAATCAGTCTGACACTTCTGCATGGGTCGATGAATTTATGGAGTCTTCCTGCCAGAGTTCAGGCTGACCATGCCACAGCTGTGACGTACATAATTCAAGCAGGCACAAGGATTCGAACAGCCAAGGAGGAAGTGGATATCAGTCTGTCCAGGGTGGAACTTCACATCCTCGCTCTATCTGTGGCCAACATCCCAGGAGTGTAAAATTGGCAAGGAGCTTTGTCATCACAGATGTGGTTCCTCTGGCATCCAGGTTCAATGCAAAACTGGACAGGTTCATTTCTAGGACCAGGGATCCTCTGGCATTTGCGCTGGATGCTCTGGTGATGCCATGAGACCAGTTCTCCCTAATCAAGTGGAAGGAATATTGGTGATTCTGATTGGTGCCTTGGAGAGCACAGTACTCCGACATCAGTGGACAACCCTTGGAGTCTCCCAGATCATCCCAAACTATCGCAAGGTCCGATATCCCTTCTTTAACAGCATGTTAACTGAAGCCAGAGTTTTTTTTTTATATTTTTTTTTATTTTGTTTTGTTTTTTTAAGCCAGGAAGGCCACCTTGAGGAAGATCTTCCCCAGGAAAATGTTTTTATATAGATGGTGTGAAGAATCAAGAACCTCGCAAGTATGTTATTGGTTGGATTTTGTGGTTCCTTCAAAAGAGAGTTAGTCTCTTTGACAAAGGGGCAGATTTGGCCTTGGCAGTTTTGTCCAGAGACTGATTGCTTTGCATACCTTTTGTACAAGGTGTTACACCGTCTCTTTTCTATTACTTTACTGGCCTTTCCTGCATGGGTGCGGTATGCTAGGGATAGGATTTTTTGTTCTTTTCTTGCCAGTGTCCAATCACCTGTAGGTGGTGTATAACCCTGATGTAAGGATTACCAAGGCTGGTCTGTGTCACGTGATGTACTCCAAGAAACGGATTTTACAGGTAAAACAAACATCCAATTATTGCTGAGGGACTATGTCTCTTATGGAATAAAAAGCCTGCTTGGTGATACCTTTTTTATTTTTTTTTTATTTAAGGTATTGGCATTTAAAGTATACACCAAATGTAAATTAATAAATACACAGCTGCTTTTCTTTGTGTCGTTTTGTATTTGCCAAGTTAGTGCAAGTTCATCTTTTCAGAAAAAATGAAAAGGTGAGCTAACACACACCCTCTCCATCCCCCTGGTTTCCTGCTGTACTTACTGTTGTAAGTGATAAGCTGTCAGTGCTCACTCCAACAACTTGAAATCCCTGCTTTTCTGCAGGGCTTCTGGGACATATCAGAGTGGTTCTGATTAGTTATCGCCAGCACAGAGAATTGCTTTGATCCTTCACAGAAGCCCTGCAAAAAGCAGAGGGAGAATCCCCAGACTACTACACCTGGGCACTGACAGCTAGTTCATAACAATGAAAGTAAGTGTAGTGAGGAGGGTGTAGGGTGCTCACCTTTTACTGAGATGGTGAATTAACCCTTTTAATCTATAAGATTTTGCTGTGTTTTGTTACAGTACATGTCTGGAGCTGCAGATCACAGGTGCAGCAGCTGCTCCAGTGGGTGATGCTGAGCATTTTGTAGCCTGATTAAATTGCTGTGAGAATTGAATTGTTCAGGGAGTGAGCAGGAAAATCAGTGGGATTTGTGAAAAATGGGTCTAGTTGCTCACTGTTTGTTTTTTAAAACAGAAAATACTTACCTAAAAATATGAATTGTCTGTACAAAGCTGTTTGGGTTGGATTTGTTTTGAACAGTTTCTAACTAGGTTTGTCCTCTTTGGTTTCAGTACACAACAGAGGACCTATTGAGCCAGATTCAAGCAAGCTCTTTAGAATTAATGGACCACCTGAAAGTTATACATGCCTGCCAAATAAGTGGTAATTTTTTGTGTCTTTATTATAAATAACCGTAGTCCTAAAAACTCATGCTTCAAATTTCTTTCTCAAAGATTCTCTGACCTCCACCATTTTTTAATGACTAAAGTAGTGTTAGATTTTATTTTTATAGCACCAAGAGGTCACTATATCCAAGGTGACAGTGACTTAGGTACAGGCAGATATAGTAAATTATTTCTGCAAGCAATAATTCACTTGTTAATAGTGAGTTATACAATTTGGAGCCATACTTTTTTTATTATTTATTATTATTAACATTACTGTTTGTATTTACTCCAGGATTCTGGAGGCTTCTGGACTTTGACTATGAAATGAAGCTCCTCAGTCATATTACTCAGTTAATGGATTCGAGTCATGGTCATTCAGCCGCATACCACTGAAAGTGTCCCTACAGGAGCTAGGACCTCTGGAGCCAGAGTGAGAGCATATTGATTTATATGGACACTGTATATTTTAGCAAGAGTTGCTTCCTTAGTTTTTATTGTCTATAAATTTATTTTTAGAGAGATGATCCAGCATTGTCTGGAGTGTTATGGGAAAAGGTTTGTTGAAGGTATGTGCTTTTTCACCTTCATTCATCATTGTATAATAATATTTATAAGGTTTTTCTAAAATTATAGTATTTAACTCCTATTTATTAGCTGAATTCTTTAACCGCACAGGTCTGCACAGCTGTCAGTCAGTATAAAGAATGAGATTTGGTCATGTGGATGTTTCACATGGATAAAAAAATCAAAGAAAATGTTGCATTTACATTGGACCATTATTTCCAAAACCCCCTCAGCAGCCTTTTATCCCATTAATCTGAATGAAACATTAAAATCTACAATTCACCTAAACTAATAAAGCTATGTCAACATAAGCAAATCACAATATACATCGCAAAAGTACTTTTTTTGCCAACTAAATAAATAAATAATGGCACTATTATTTCATTTAAAGCAAAGATCACGTGGTCCATGACCACTAGGCCCTTTTGTGGGTATTTTTTTTCTTGTTTGAGACTATTAATGGTCTAGTGCTTTCAGGGAGATAGATTTGCAAAAGGAAAATAATATCAGCAAGGCACAACATTGTGCGGTGCTGCTAAACTAGAAGCAGAACATGCACATGTAATCACAAACTGGTAGGATTGCTTTAATGTTCACCACATATGTAGTACATCCAGAGAGTGAATGGTTAAGAAGTACTAAAAAGAATCAGCGAGCTCTTAGAACCAGCCGCTAATGCACTAAAAGGCAACCAAAAAAACCTTCAATAGCATGTAAAATCAGGTAATGCAGCGCTCATAAAATAATGATCATATAAATATATTCAAACCCAATAAAGTGCTTTAAATTGGTAAATCTTTGTGCGTAAACCCACAGTAAAAATAAGTAGTAAAATGCAATCCTATGATTTCAATATGTGTTCTGAAATAAATATATAAACAAATATATAGTCCTTGTGAAAGTGAAAATTCTAATGTCCATTAATTGGTGATACTGCGTGAGGATCTGTGTTCAAGTGGTCACAAATACATTCCATGTGCCAATAAAATATTCGGTGATGTGCCAGAGATATAGTAAAAGGACTTCTTTCTTGGCTTCACATCGAGCTGATGATTTTCAGAGGCTAGTGTGAAGGAAAGCTGCAGAGCAGCTCAGGATCCAGAGGAGGGAGATTCCTTTCCAGGCTACACATCCGTTCCACCTTAAAGGAGACCTCTGGCTGATCACATCATATACACAAATGCGTATTTAAAATGCGCATCTGGTGAGTGTGCATTTTTACTATATGGAGAGAACTCCATCGGACACTGTAGGTTGCACACCACGGCCTGCATTTTGTGAATGTAGTGTAAAATGCCGACTGCAGTATGGAGTAACTTTGCAGAGTATAATGGAGAGTAGATAGCAATATCCACTCTTTATTAAAAATGGGCTTCTTAGTGACTGATTGGAACAAAGTATAGGTTTATGTTGACTAAAATACAAATCAATGGGAATGGAAAACTACCTGGATTTGTAGAATAAAAAGAAGTCATCTGCACCTGAATGAATTGTGAATAATCTGAGAAGCATTTCAATCTGATGTCTACTGCAGGATAAATGCACCGGAAAGAAAGCTGCCTTTTCCCCTATATCTGTCAGGTATCAACAGTCACATTTTAAACACTTTAATTTTGTTTAGAAAAAAAACTGTTGCAATTTCTCAAGCACTCTTGGTGGCATTCTAGTTGGTCCTAACCACTGTCACTTTTGCTGGACGATATGGCTTGTATGAATATGGGAAAAAAACAAAAAAACAAACCTATGTAAGACATGTATCAATTCTGTCATACTACAGGGTGACACCAAGCAGGATAGATTCTTAGGCAGATTTATACTAATAGTGCAGCTTGCTTTTTATAATCCTCCTTAAATTGCCCTGAAGTAGCCCTGTAACAGAATAAAACCTGCCCCTGACCAATCTGTTTGGAAATCTGTTTTATCACCAGTGTTAATTCATACACAGACCTGTGTAAAACCATCTCAGTTGGCTGCACAGAGGTCACATATATATATATATATACTGTATATACATATGTATATGTAGGTCTGTGTGTATTCTGATAATCGCAACTTGTAGTAATATTGAGCGTAAACATTTCCTTTTAATTATATTCTTCTCCGCATTTTCCAGCACACCCAGCGGCCTTGGAGAAAATGAGTTACAGGGTTGGGACAACTTAAAACACTGCCAGGGGATCTTATGTATATAAATTAAATCTATTGCTTCAAATGGAAAAAAAATAACTACTGCTACTGTAAAACTATTTGGTCCACAGGGTGACAACACTGCAGTGCTTTCAATTCATAAAGAGCAGTATTGTCAGTGTTGTCACCCTGCTGAAGGAAATTAACAAATCTACTGGAAACATTAAAACCTGAGTTAAAAAGAGCTCTTGAGTAAAACAATAAATAGTATTTTTGAAAGAGATTGCATGTCATTTATGTATTTATTTTTACTGTGTTCATAGTTCTATTTTAAAAAGATCCAGATAAAAAAATAACTTTTTAACACAAATTTATTTTGCATTTTGTAAGGTGAAGTGTTCTATGCATTAGATGAAGACAAAATTTGCAGAGCGACTGCCCAGATGCTTTTGCAGAATGCAGTGAAGTTTAATCTCTCAGAGTTTCAAGAAGTGTGGCAACAAAGTGTTCCTGAGGGAATGATGACTAGGTTAGACCAGCTGAAGGTATGCTTTTGACAATCAGTATTGATGTATTGGTTTTATTCCAACAGGGTGACTATGAAAAAACATACCTTTTTTCTTAGTTTAAAAAAAAAAAAAAAAAAAAAAAAAAGTCTCCCAACAGAGATGAAAAAACAGCTTTGGCTTCAATGCTCACCTCTCCAGCGCTGTTCCCCTACAGCAGAGCAGAGGTAGGTAACCCACGTGCCACGACCATGAACAGGCAATGGGTAGATCGCAAGGATGAACTCTTGTTTCTTTGAACACTAATCTTAAACTGCCTGAGGTATCCTGCCGAGAAATTATCAAAGCTGACAGCCAATTCACAGGCAGCAAAGACATTCCCCTGCCTATGTTTGACTATCAGCTTTGATAGCTTCTCAGCAGGATAACTCAGGCGGTTTTGGACATTTCATGCCTGAAACCACCTGAGTGCATTCCATGCCTTCTTGATCCTTTGTTGGTAAGGCAGGGACATCTGTGTTCCTCCAGTTGCAGAGTGTTGCAAGGAAGCCACATGTCTATAGGTACTGCATTCATCACTCTCTCTGCACTCCTCTCCCATCCACCCCAGGGGCTGCTACAGTATGTGACATCATATGGGTGGACCGGAAAGGAGGGCTGGTGGGGATCAGTGCACCACACGATCGTGAAACGCTGCCCTACTGACTTCTGCCCTGCTGACTCCCTGTACACTTGCCCTACTGACCTCTGTCTTGCTGACCCCTGTACACTGCTCTACATACATACTCATGACCCCTGCAAATAGCCCTAGGAATTACTTACCCCTGTACACTGTGCTACATTTTATTGACCTCTGCACACTGCCCTACATCCTACTGACCTCTGCACAGTGCCAGAACTCAACTTATACTGGCCAGAACTGAACCTAGCTAGTCAGGCTGAAACACTGAGCAGAGTTAGGCAAGAATTGAGGCCAGCCAACTAGAAACTAGTCGAGCAATTCAACCTGCAGTACGAGTTGTCCTGTCTTCATGGTGGACTTTTGTATCAGCCTTGAAGTGATCAATTACTCTCCATACATGAAAGAAATTGTGAGTGAAAGTAAACCATTTCACTGAAGCTAACTTTTAAGGTTAAGGCTAAGTTTATATTTTTACAATGGCATTAGTTTTATCAGATTTTTCTACGTTTCCTTTTTGCCATACTTTTTTTTTTGGGACCATGCTAGTTCATTAATTTTTTTTTTCTTTTTAAAGGCAACTGCACCCCAGTGTTCTTTGATTTCCTCTTTCATGTTGTTCGGGTAGATCTCCACATCTCAAAGGTTGCATATCCATGCCCTACAATAATTCCATTGCACCACTATATGTTCTCAGTGTTTTGGATGATCACCACTGTGCTTTGCACTCAGTGCAAGGATGCAGAGCAATGCTGACCTTATCAGGTCAGCGCACCTCTGCATCATCGAGGACTGCTCACTGCCAGCAGAAGAGGACCCTGTGTATAACGTGATTGGCCTGAAGTGCCTTTGGGGATTACTGGGATGCAGAATAAGGAAGCCCAGTGATGGACTTTTAATATACACTGCTCAAAAAAAATTAAAGGAACACTTTGAAAACACATCAGATCTGAATAGGGAAAAATATCATGCTGGACATCTATACTGATATGAACTGGGTAATGTGTTAGGAATGTAAGGATACCCCAATGTTTGATGGGAATCAAAATTAGCAACCTACAGAGGACTGAAATTGCATTGTAGCAACTCAGAATTGTACTTAGTAGTTTGTATGGCCCCCACGTGCTTGTAAGCATGCCTGCCAATGCCGGGGCTTGCTCCTAATGAGACATTGGGTGGTGTCCTGGGGTATTTTTTCCCAGATCTGTACCAGGGCATCACTGAGTTCCTAGACAGTCTGAGGTGCAACCTGGTGGCGTCAGATGGACCAACACATGATATCCTAGAGGTGTTCTATCAGATTTAGGTCAGGCAAGCGTGGGGGCCATTCAATGGTATCAATTTACATCCTTCAGGAACTGCCTGCACACTCTCGCCACATGAGGTTAGGAATTGTTGTGAACCAGAAGGAACCCAGGACCCACTGCACCAGTGTGGGGTCTGACAATGGGTCCAAGGATTTCATCCCGATACCTAATGGCAGAGTGCTATTGTCTAGCCTGTCGTGGTCTGTGCGTCCCTCCATGGCATGGATATGCCTCTCCAGACCATCACTGACCCCACCACCAAAACTTATGTTGAACGATGTTACAGGCATCATAACATTCTCCACAGCTTCTCCAGACCCTTTCACGTCTGTCACATATGCTCAGGGTGAACCTGCTCTCATTTGTGAAAAGCACAGGACGCCAGTGGTGGACCTTTCAATTCTGGTGTTTAATGGCAAATGCCAATCGAACTCTATGCTGCCGGGCAGTGAGCACAGGGCCCACTAGAGGGCATCGGGCCCTCAGGCCACCCTTGTGAAATCTGTTTCCGGTAGCGGTATTGGAGGAGTTCTGGCATCGACTTGCCAGACTTTATACGGATCCTACACGGGCTGACCCTCAGTCAATTTCTGACTTTTTATCCCGTTTGCCCTTACCTACTTTGACTCAGGCTCATAAGGACTTGATGGACCGTGATATCCAAATATCAGAAGTCCTGCAATGCATAGCAGATCTGAAGACAGGCAAACGCCCAGGTCCAGATTGATACACGGCTCTATACTACAAGAAATTGGCCGATTGTGCTTGCCCCTCACCTTGCCATGTTAATGTGGTTTTTTCGCTAATGTGGTTATGATCCCTAAACCAGATCCAGATCATTCCTCTTGGGCAAATTATAGGCCTATTTCTCTTATTAACATTGATATGAAAATCCTCACTAAGATTTTAGCCACTCGATTGAATTCTTTCCTTTCTCGTCTGATAACAAAAGATCAGTGGGTTTTGTCCCCCACAGACAAGCCGGAGATGCCATCAGACGCATTTTACAAATACAACATTTGGCCCATACCCGTAAAATTGATATGATGCTTCTATCTTTAGATATCAACAAGGCCTTTGACACTTTGTCCTGGCCTTATCTCTTATCGGTCCTTCAACATTTTGGCTTTGGTCCCTCGTTCCTATGTTGGATCTCTTCGCTATATACATCCCCTCAAGCAAAACTCAAATATTATGGATTCGAGTCCTCCACGTTCCCAATTGGTAGGGGAACTAGACACGGGTGCCCACTCTCTCCCCCATACTATTTATTTTGACCTTGGAACCATTGGCAGAAGCCATTCGTATGCACCCTGATATTAAGGAAATGGATGTAGCTGGCTTTCAGCACAAGTTATCTCTGTTTGCAGATGATATATTGTTGTCAATCACGAACCCGGGGGTTACTTTGCCAAATCTACTCGCGGTTTTGGATTCCTTTGCAGCTCTTTCGGGTCTTCATGTCAATCCTGCCAAATCTAAAGCTATGTCAATTACTCTCTCACCATCACATTTGGCTACTTTGAAACATTCATTCCCTTTTCAATGGCTCTTGACCCTGCCATATTTAGGAATTAAGCTCACCCCAACTTACGAAGGACTTTACCGGGCTAACTTCCCCGCTGTCTTTCATGAACTGACCGAGATGTTGTCCTCCTGGTCTCACTACCCGTTATCTTGGTTCGGTAGAATCAATGCTATCCGTATGACCTATCTCCCCCAAATTATTGTATGTGTTTCGTATTTTACCAGTACCTGTTCTTTCACATATATTGCGTATTCATCAGCGAAAACTCCGGTCTTTCATTTGGAGTTCTTCTCGACCCAGAATTAGTAAACATATCTTATTTGCACATAAGAACGAGGGTGGGCTATCTGTTCCAAATCTCCAGTCCTATTATCTGGCGGCTAATGTTGCCTCCTTAGCTCATCTCCATGCATCTCACCATTTCCCCTTGTGGGCTACTGTAGACTTGTTGGACTCCCACCCGATACCACTCTCTTCTTTGCCGTGGCTTCCTTTTACTCATCGCCCCTCAGTCCAACTCTGACGCTAACGCTTCGTCTTTGGGATTCTATTAAATATTCCGCTGGCCTCACTTCCGCCCATCTACCGTTATTATGTTTACTACATAACCCGTTATTCCTTCCAGGTCATGATAATCCTGGACAGTTTGGTGGCAAGCACATGGCTTCTATGGTGTACATTCGATGCTATCCCCTACTCGAATACTCACCTTTGAAACGCTGCACTCCCCTCATGATATCCCATTGCAGGAACACTTTGGCTACCTTCAACTCCGTCACCTTATTAATACACTAATATGGACGCACCCGGGACCCTATAGGCTATCCCCCTTTGAAAGCCAGTGTAGACATAGACCCCATGCTCCAGGCCTAATCTCTTTGGTCTATTCTTTCATTATTTCTTATAGAACTCCTCCGGTCCGTTCCTATCATCAGCGTTGGCAGTCGGAACTCAGGGGGACTTTGGATCAACAGGATTGGCGGACCATGACCCAAGCATTATCTAAATGTTCTAGGAATGTTATCATTCTAGAAAATGCTTATAAGATCCTTTATCGATGGTATTACACTACTGCTCGTCTGGCCCGTTTTATCCCTACATATTCTCCGACTTGTTTTCGGGGTTGTCAACAGTTTGGTACTATGGCTCACATCTGGTGGACTTGCCCTAAGGTTTGCAGATTGTGGATCAGAGTTTATGCCCTCCTCCATACTAGGTTTCACACAGACATTAAGCGTAACCCGTATGAAGCGCTTTTATTTAAACCATTGGTGGGCCTTCTCCGTCCCAAACAACAGCTAGCATCACATCTATTTATGGCAACCAAACTGACAATCGCGAGGGTTTGGAAGACTCCCCTCCTCAGCTTTCTGGTTGTCAAAAACCAGATGAACTTCATAATGGTTAACGAAAAACTGACAGCTATACTGTTGGACACCCATACAAAATTCCTGCAGATATGGCGTCCCTGGCTTGATATAGCCCAACCATCGACATTCGACCAGTCCCTTCTGTCGATATAAGGATTGATTCTGTTGCGATCGCCCTAGAGCCCTTTTGTGATTGTTTTTGAATTTGTTTTTTTTTCTCATCTCCTTACTTACCATCCTTCCCTGTTCTCTTGTCTAATCTGTTCTCATGCCACTTGTACTGATTGTGATTATTGCTATGAGTGCCACACCTGCAACACTAAAATCCGCAAACTGGACTCCACCGCGTGCCCAGGGTTTGGATTACCTATCTACATTTGGAGAGACTTCACTTCATACCTTTTCCGCTCTCTACGCTGATACAGTGACAATTTTTCTTAGAGTTTATATTATCATTAATCTCTAAATGTTTACTCATTGTTTTCTCCCTTTTTTTTTTTTTAATTTTTATTTATTCTACATGGCACTTAAATATTCCGTTTATGTCTATATCTCTACCAGTACTTGTTCTGTAACACTCAGCAAATACCGGTATGTCTCATTTATATTGGTCAATGCATATTTTTTTTGACTGATACTTTGATCCTATCTATTCTATAATAAAATTCTTTGTAAAAGAAATCTGTTTCTGATTGTTTGGTCAGAGACATTCACACCAGTGGCCTGCTGGATGTCATTTTGTAGGGCTCTGGCAGTGCTCATCCTTTTCCTCCTTGCATAAAGGAGCAGATACCGGTCCTGATGGGTTAAGGACCCTCTACAGCCCTGTCCAGCTCTCCTATAGTAGCTGCCTGTCTCTTGGAATCTCCTCCATGCTCTGGAAACTGTGCTGGGAGACAAAGCAAATTTGTCAATGGCACGTATTGATGTGCCATCCTGGAGGAGACTGCCTGTGCAACCTCTGTAGGGTCCAGGTATCGCCTCATGCTACCAGTAATTAAACTGTCCCTAGCCAATGCAAAACTAGTGAAAAACAGGAAAGATGAGTAGGAAAAAATATCAGTGGCCTCCACCTGTAAAACCATTCCTGTTTTGGGGGTTGTCTCATTGTTGCCCATCTAGTGCACCTGTTAATTTCATTACCACCAAAGCAGCTGAAACTGATTAACAACCCCCTCTGCTACTTAACAGACCAGATCAATATCCTAGAAGTTAATTTGACTTGATGCTATACTCTGATTAAAAAGTGTTTCTTTAATTTTTTTTGAGCAGTGTATTACCCGCTGGTTTGAGCCAAGTTATTAATAAGGGCATGTGACAGGGTGACAAAGCAGGGAATCAAATGGGACACATTTGTCACTCAATAACAGGAAGTACCCAAACAAAAACATTCATGGAACATGCACAAGGTATTGTTTTATTGAAGCTGCAAATTTGAAAAGGATAAAAAGACAATTTTTATGTAAAGCTTATGAGACTTTTGGCGATTGGGCTTAGATCTATTTTTAATGCTACTGTTCCTTTTTTATTCTACATTTTTATGTATCCTAGGGATTAGCTTTGGTGGATCGGTCATCTCGGCCAGAAACTATCTTCATGTTGAAGACTGAAGACCTACCTGAGGACACTCAGGAGCGTTTTAACACCTTGTTTACCATGAGGGAAAAATGGACAGAAGCTGATATTGCACCATATATCCAGTAAGCAATCTGTGTACTTAATGTGCCCCCTCCTGTCTGCAAATACTGTATGTTGTACTGAGTCTGAAAGTGCTGCATGCTACATTGACCTGTGGTTGATCTCTGGATGTCAACTCACTTTTTTATTTTATTTATTTGTAGGGATCTGTGTGGGGAGAAGCAAACCATTGGAGCACTTCTCACAAAATACGCCCGCTCTTCTCTGCAGAATGGTGTCAAATTGTATAACTCTAGGCGACCTCTGTCCTAGCACATTTACTTTTGCTGTACAGTATTGTAAACTATTCCAGTGTATTGTTTTATAAAAACTGTTTTTGATTAATTTGTTGTAGTCTGTCAGGTGATGTAGCATGGTCATTTTGGTTTTGCAGGGGCTGTGATTTGTAGAAATTAGTTGAAATATATGGCCATAGTAATCACTGAGTGCTGGGGAAAAAAAAAGTGTGATTTGGTTTGCTGGGAACTATTCAGAACTGAAATTAGTTTTCTTCAATTAAAGTTAGAAGTGCAGGATAGGAAACAAAGTAAACATAAACTTCTTAGCCCTTTCATCCCCAGAGCCATTTTTTTTTTTTTGCACACGTTTAAAAAAATAATTTCATATCTGAAGATTACGTAACCCCCCAGACATATATTTTCCTAAAGCAGACACCCTACAGAATAAAATAGTGGTAGTTCAAATTTTTTCTATCACCAGATATTACCACAAAGGTCTATGAAACGCAATATGTCAGTAAAAACACACTATAGTGAATTTTAGGGCAAAGAAACACAATAAATTACCCAAATGTTTGGTGAAAGATGAGGTTGCTCCAAGTAAATAGATGCCAAACCTTAAATTTGTGTGTACCTATGAAATGTCAATAAATTCCTGTACCCTGTAATTTCTATAGGCGACAGTTCAAAAGCCCCCTGTAGGTCATCACTTTAGTGTTGTGGAGGAGGTGTTGTGCTAGAATTGTTGCTCTCACTGTGGTGTGCGCAGCTATATGTAACATATATTGCAATCAATGTATTCATGCATTGGTGCCTGATGAGTTAGTTTATATGCGTATATGTGGGGGTAGGGATGTTATGTGCTTGGGTGTATTTTTATTTTTTTTTTTACAACTAAAAGCATAAATAAATTTTTTATAGGGGACAATAAATAAAGTCACATAGGGGACAGGTTCTCTTTATTGAGACATACAGACTCTTTGTCTCCTCTGGTCTCCACTAGCTGTATTGTAATGCAGATCGCATTGCAGTACATGTAGCTGCAACCCAAAAGTGACGTCATACACATCGCCTTCTGAGTCACAGAAAGAAGGGGAGGAAACCGGGCGTTTCTCTGCTCTCCCCTCCACCCGACAGAACCTGCCATGACGCTACCCGGGCTCACAGATGGTCAAGTGGGGCCCAGATACATGCCGGGTGCACACACGGGAGGGGGGGGGGAATGGGTTGGGAACCAGCACCAGGGGGGTGTGTGGAAGCGATCGGGTGGCAGTGCCGCCCAACTGCTTCTGCCTGTCAGTATTATACACAATCCTGGTGGCTGCATTGGCTGATTGTGTATAAAACCCCTCATGTCAGGCCCTTATGATGTATGGATCTGGGGGTGAAAGGGGGAAAAACCCACAAACCCTCCTTTCCCCCTGAAGGCACCATGGAATTTTTTTTTCTTTTTGTGAGAATGTAGTTAACAGTGAGACTGGCTGCAACATTTGGCCAGTGGAACAATACAAAAATGACAGCATACAGTTTTGTTTTTTTCCTTTTCCATTTAGGGACACAGGCATTATTACCTTTTGGTTTACCTACCACTGCCTACAGGAGGATTGAACGCTGGCAGACAGAGCAAAAATATTTGTAGGCCATCCCAGGATAGCCTTTCCTACAATAAGCATGCCTCAAGAGCTAGGCCATCAGTTGAAATGATTATTTCTGACTCTGGGTCACCTCAGTCACTTCCTGACGAGACTATCTTTGCCCTACTCCTGGTTGTGACCTTAATTTGTTAAACCATGGCAGACTGGTCTAAGTCCATAAAAAGTGATCTATTCACACTGACCTGCATGTGCAATGCACCTGCGGATTAGGTGCACTGAGCCCCCCTGGTTTATACTGTTTTTACTGTATTATATTACTATATATTTACTGTTTGGTGACTTGAAAACAGGTAAGTGTATACTCAGCAATGTCATCTAGCTTTTCTTCACAAAAATAACCAAATGGATGAACACAATCTTCAACCAACAAGTTTAACCAACCCCATGAAGTAAATTGACATATTGATGGTAATCTGCCTTAATCTGTACACTTTAAGGAAAGCTACTTGAAATTTGAAAATTGCCATGTGCCTGCCCAGTTTAGAGATTTGTTTGAGCAGGCAGTCACTGACACGTGCTTATATTATGTATTTATATGTGGAACGGTATTAAGTAAACGAGTTACCCTTTTTGATCTAAAACTTTACCTCAATATTTCCAATATTGCTACTCACTGTTATAGTTCATTATTACTAGAAGAAATTTCAAAGTGAAAGTACTTATTAGCTTTAAATATGTTCTGTTTTTGTATACTTGAAGACCTAGATCCTTTTTTTTTTTTTTTTTTTTTAATTTCTGAAATTCTGAGTGTTAGTACATGTATATGGCAAGTGCTGATAAAATAAACTGCTGTATCCCATATTACCACCAGGTGGCCATTGTAACTCTAAACTGCTGTAAAGTAGTCTCAAAAAAATGACAACGTATATTCTGTAATAGTAATTTCTTTAATATTGTACAGAGTATGCATATTCAGTTTTATATGTACACGAAACCACTTTTATGGTAATAATTCAACAGATTTCATAACAGTAAAACACACAGCGCCCTGTCATGCATCATCAAGGCCTTTTAAAAATGTCTGCACCACCATACAGCTTTCAAATACAAAAATTGGTTTATTGACAAAAATAAATCGGGCACACAAGAATAAGAATAAACACACAAACCCACATTTAGAGAAAGTTGCATACCCTGACCTTAGGTAAAAACACATCCCTGCTGATAATCCAAAGTGCCAATCTCCTAGTAATTGGCCTTTGATTTTACCATTAACCTGGCTATGCATCATTAAAGGTGATATGACAAGGAACACAAAGGGAGAGATTTCCTAAAGTTGGTGAACTCGGAATCTGGTTCAGCTGTGCATGGTAGCCAATCCGCTTTTAGCTTTAGCTTGTTCAGTTATGCTTTGGCAATAAAACCTGTAAATTAACATACCTCAATAAATTGTTTGATTTTAGGCTAAAGTGGCATATTTTTAACCACTTTAATGTCCACATTCTGCAATAACTTTGTCAACTAAAGGCAAAACTGTTTCTTTTCCATTTTGGGAGGTAGGGTTACAAGCCTTGTCATATTTTTTTTTTTATTTCTATATTTCTATATGTTTTCCAATGGGGGGAATTCCCTTCTCTTCCTATTCCATAGCCAAAAGTGAGAGGAAAACCCATGGGAATCCAATCCCAGGGTAACACCAGTGTCACAATATAAGGCCCCTTTCACACAAGTGGACCAGTGGGGTCCGCCTGGTTTTTTTTTTTTTTCCAGGCAGACCCAATCGGTCCATCCATAGACTTCCGCTGACACCTGCTGGCATACGATCCTGTATGGCAAAAAACAGACGGATGGGGATCTGTTCCCCATATGTCCAGCACATCCGACTGTCCCATTGAAATCAGTGTCTGTGTCCACTCTGCAGCAGCAAGTATTATGTCACTTCTTTTGAAAAGTTTTATTTCAAGTCTGTTTGCTGACATTGCCTGCCTGTAGCCATGGCCCTTTGACACTGCTTCACACTAATTGGGCTGACAGAAAAAGGAAAAAAACTAAATGTATAAATGCTGATGCATGAAAGCCAGGATTTTTACGCTAGAGCACTTTACTCCTCACTTTAGAAAAGCCTAAAAGTAAACTAACGCAGCCACCACATTCAGAGACTAGTAAGCTGCAATATAGTACATGTTTGGGTTTAGATACACTTTAAATTGGCCCTAGTATGTGTATGTATAAATGTGAGTTAGGGAACTTAGATTGTAAGTTCCTTGAGGGCAGGAACTGTCTTAGCCAGTGAGGAGGCAGAGACCTGGGACAGCCAAGGTTCTCCTGCACATAATTGATGGAGCTCAGGTAAGTATTTGAGGGGCTGCTGCACACAGAAGGTTTTTTACCTTCATGCATATTACACATGAAGGTAAAAATCTTGAGCCTTTACAACCACTTTAATGATCTAATAATGTTTTAATAAAAAAGCAAAAATTGTGCAGGAAGTATTTAGAGAATATACTATCTAATACAAAGGAAACATACACTATTGCTTAATAAAAATGGTTTTAAAAGTAACTCCACTTTTGTTGAAGATAAAAAAAATTCCCATCTGGGTGATCTATGTACATTGCAGCGATTTTAACAAAATGTGTTCTGTACGGGAGTGGTTTTATATTTATCAGTCAACTGCTGAACCTGCAGGGCTCTGAGGTAAGCTGCAGGGTCTGCATCCCTTTAGATGTGACTTCCCTTTGGGAGTATCTCACTAAAAATTACATTTTTGTTGCTGGAGATGCCAAAAATCTGTCTTGTATCTTAGTGCAGACTTCTAGGAAAAGCAAGCAATAAGATAAATCAGTAAAGCAGGAAATTACATTTTCAGGGGGCGATCTGTGTACAGAATCCCATCAGGTAGCCATTTTGCATTTTACAAAACATGACATTGCTGCCGCTTTAAAAGGAAAGGTAGTTTTTAATAGCATTCAATTACAAAAAAAAACTTGAGTCACAATTGTATATGTTATATTATTTATATTTGCTAGGTTTTTTTTCTCACAAAAATTGAGTTACACTTTTAAGTGGAAGTCTGCCTAGTCCTTGCCTCAGGGCAGAGTCAGACCACTCTAAGAGTAAGTCTGATCTGGAATGGCAGAGTCCCTGTCACTCATAAATGGCTCAGTATTCTTCACAATCTAACATCCATCATATTATTTAACAGTAGGAAATTATTATTTGTTAGACACCAAATTCAATATATAACAAATACAAGATCATAGATTGTTTGTTTTACTTCTGGACCTTAAAACACAAACATGTTTGGTGTCTGATTGCTATCAATTTTACATTGGTGTAGCCATTAAAGGTAACGTCAATATAGAATGAATGTATGAAACATAACTCTATGTAGTTCGACTTTAGGTCAGTATAGGAAAAAAAAAACCCCAGCTTCACA